TGTCTGTGACTTGTTGGAAATAAATTCAACAATTAACAAACAGCACTCACTCCACTTATTTCTAAAATAATATATGTATTTGAAACAAGTTAAACATATGTACAAAATTCTTTACACTATAGATAACATAGTTGTAGCTTAAACACTATACAGTTCTCTTCTTGTCAAAAGTCTACTTAGGCCAATTCAGTTGAGAAGCGAAACTATTTTTATCACAATAGTATCCGTGTATAGTTCACTTATGTTGTCACATGAGTTACCTCAGTTGTATCCTGAACTTCCAATAATTGTCTGTATTTTTGTCAAAGTCCACACAGGTGGGTTCAATTAGTTTAAAACACCCTTTAACGAGACAAATTATTCTCCTTATCACTTTCACACTGTTAATCTCACTGTAACATATCAACTGTTAGGCCATTCACTCCCATGACAGTTAACTTTATGTTTTTTTAACTTTTCTCTAACCGAACTTCGCTTTCAAGTGACTTTACTTTTACACTGTTTCTGCTCATCTAATTACAGCTGTTTATACATCTATCACTTAGGCCTTCTAGAAATCTCCATAGCCTCGACATCAATGGATTGCAAACACAATGCTCAATAGCCTCGACATCAATGAATTACAACCACAAAATATATTAATTTATAATACTACATACATTAAACAGTCTTTTATATGTGACATAAAGATTAGAATGCATTAATGTGAATAATATTTCTGTCCATAAAAATGTCATTGAAGATAACAGAACTATTATTTACAGACATTTAAATGCATGCATGTATAGTAAATATATTCATATTTTGAAATTCTGAAATGTATGGAGCTTCAACTTTAAAGCAGCAAGCTTAAATAGTCCCCTTTCTTAAATATTTTTATTTCAACTTAAATTTTGTATGTTTTATTTGTTTCAAAAGAGACTAAAATGGTTTGTAAATTTTAAACACCTGCCTTAGATACTTGTTACTGTATAAGAAGCTTAGATTTTTTATATATCAATCACTGCATATACCCTTATTAATAATATTTATTAGACATTGGAAAAAGAAATTCGTAAGAACATAGAGACAGAAATTCGAGCCATAGCTACTCCAGGAAGTACATCCGTAGAGAAGGGTAACCCATCAAGTAAAAAGAAAACTCAGAGAAAAAAATAAATATTATGTCATTGAATTAAGAGTTCATTAGCAAAAAAATAGACATGTAAAACTTCAGATTTAATTTAATTAAATCTTAGGAAGTTTTTATGGACATTATGTAGAATAAAATAGTTTTCAGGTATTAGTTTTCTGTTCAGTTATTTTGATTTTATGTTTAAAAATTTAAACTTGTGCAGTCAAAGAAAATAAAGTTTTTTCTCAGAAATGTAACTTAAGTTATGTTTAAACATAGTTTGACACTTTATTGTATCAATTTTACTATATTTGTATGTTTTGCCTTTTGTTTTTCAGAAAAGGGGAAAAAAAAACACAAATGCTAATTCAGTTGTACATCCATATTTATTAAAACTGTTTTTTTATCTTGTTGAAACCAGCAACAAGGTGGTTAGTTGTAAAAATAATGGTTTTAAAAAACTGGGTACAAAAATTTTTTTCCTTCACATGATTCAGTAGAAGCTGACTAGTACAGTGATTTGGTAAAGGTGCTCAAAAACTATTGTACATATTTTGTAAAATTTCATGATGGAAGTTTTTCAACAAACAGTCGTGAAAAACTTCCTTGATACATTTGAATCAAGTATCTTTTAATTTTAAAAATCATAGTAATGCTTATTACTGTTTAATTCTAAGGAAACAATCTTAGTTCAAAACAATCACTTCTAAAATATTATTTGACATAAATGCCTGCATTATTTATTGAAAAATAATTATATGTTAATCCTTTTTTATCTGATACTACCAGGTCAATCCTTAAAGGATGTTATTACCTTTTAGGATTGCTTATTACTGTTTAATTCTATGGAAACAATCTTAGTTCAAAACAATCACTTCTAAAATATTATTTGACATAAATGCCTGCATTGTTCATTGAAAAATAATTATATGTTAATCCTTTTTTATCTGATACTACCAGGTCAATCCTTAAAGGATGTTATTACCTTTTAGGAAACCTCCTGGTGGAAATGTTAACAATCTGCACATAATTACTCAACATATGGTTATCAAAATAGATAAGTTTTAAATAACTTACAGGGTTACTTGTTAGAATTCAGTTATGAACTTAACATATGGTATAACATTTTTGTTATGTCTGTAACTGACTAAAAAGAGTTATAGATAGTAATTAGGAAAGTGAATCTCAAAAGAATGTAACATTATTGAAAAATTAAACTAAGTTTCATATTAATTGTACTGAAATGTGATAACAATCAGAACCTATTCTGCCAGTCGTAATTAAATAATTCTTATAAATCCATAATCAAACAATGCTGGTTATTCATTTATGATGTTACTAATAATTACATGTTAAATCAACGGTAAATAACTCTAAGTGCTATGAAAAAGTATAGCTTCTTTCATCGAGCATGACTGGGAATGCAAACAAAAAGAGAAAGTGCTAGTGATCGAAATGTCGTATCTGTAACTTGTAATAAAGCAATACTTATAATCAGTAAATAAACTCAAAATGAAATACCAATAAACTATTTTACTTTCATAAACTAACTTTAACTTGTTGCTTTTCAATGAGGTCTTGAAAAGCAACAAGT